TATCTTAATAATTCTAGAACTCATCTCTTTTCCATACCCCTATTACTAACAGGTCTTGACTCTTATCACCCAAGTTGATACCTTTATTGTTTCCTTCCAATCTGTTTTCTTGGATACTCATGGTAATCTTTCAGAAATATAAATTTTATCTTGTCATGATCCTCATTATATCTTATAAAATGTCTCATTTCTCTAATGTTTTATCTTTTAAGTGTTATTAAAGGTATTTTGGAATTTCTCATATTATCCTCAATATCTCTCAATCTCTGCCTCACTGTCTTGTTGCTACATGACAAACTACCCAGAAATACAGATCACAAATTTATTATCTATGTTTCTGTGAATTATATATCTGAGCATGGCTCTATTAGGTCTTCTGCTTTAAAATGTCCCACAAAACTTCAGTTAAGGTCTTGGCCAGGACAGGGATTGAGAGGAAGACACCACTGGAAAAGATTTGCCGCTGAGTTTATTTATGTGATCATTGGCAGATCTAGTTACAAAAGAGTTGTTGAACTAAGGCCTTCACTGGCTTTTGGACAGAGGCCTTCTCCTTCATGTGAACCCCTTCAACATGGCAACTTGCATTCTAACAGCACAAAAAGTATATATTTTTAAACTTAATCACAGAAATATTATTCCATCACCTTGGCCATATCTGTTGGTTGCAAGATCAAGCCTATTCTTAAAAGGAAGGGATTAAAATAGTGTGAATACCAGTAATTGTGGATCACAGAGTGCCATCCTATAAATCAATCTACCACAATCTCTTGCCTTCTTTTTATATTTTCATCTTTTAATTTCTAAACACTCCTTTCTAAATGAGTACCTAAAAAATTCTAATTTACGAATTCACCGTTCAGTGGTATCTGGTCTACTGTTTAAGTTGTACTTTGAGATTCCCCAAGAAATATGAATGAAAAGTATACTTTCATTTCTATAATTTCCACTTGGAATAAAACATACCTATTTTACTTTCCTTAGATTCCTCATTCTTATTTTCTTCATTTATCTCTCTGGACATTTGAAATCAATTTCTTTTAAAGTCCTCTTGTTTTTACTCTTTGTATTCTTTCTCGAGTGAAAATCTTCTTCCATCTTCTGACTGTCTCTCATAGCAATAGTCTCTGAGAGTGCTTTTAATTATTTTCATTTTATGAATGTGTCTTTAATGGAACTTGTCTTCTACAGAAACACACAGAAGTTCCATTTTTATTCTAGTTTCTAGAGACGTTGCTATGAAAGTGATTGTTTGTTTTTTCTAAGACTCTATAATACCTAAATTCTAAAACTTTTCTTTTTTAAGCTTCCATAAACCAATCTTTTCTGGTTTTCCTCTTCTTTACTACCATTTCGCACTCAGTTATCTTTACAGTCTCCTTTTCATCCCATCCCTGACTCTATTGAAATTCTGCAGTACTCTGTTCTGTGTCCTTTTCTTTTTCAGCAGCCCCTTGGCTTTAAATTTTCTCTGCAGTTGATAACTCACAAGTCTTAGTCTTTCCCTCTCTTTCTCTTTCTCTCTCCCTGTTCCTCTCCCTCCCTATTTCAGTCCCTCTTCACTCCTTTCATTCTTTTTCCTCATTCTCTTTTTATGTCATCATAAACTACAAACTTATTTATCTAACTTCTAGATCAACATCTCCGTGATGATATTTAATAGGTATCTTATTCTTAACATTTCCAAAATGTTTACTTCAGCATATTTATAATGTTGAAGGAGGTGACAGAGGTAGCATTTGAGGATAGAAAAGACAAACTTATTCCAGAAACTAGCTCAGTGATCCACAAACTTCAGAGTTAGAGTATGAGAACAATTCTATTATAAATTCAGTTTCTTAGGCTACATGTATTATATTATGCTATAGTAATTCTAAGTCAGGGTCTAGGAAACTCTATGTTCATATCTCAGGTATTTATGGTGAAAGGAGTTCTAAAGACAACACTTTCAACTTTTTTGTCATACCTAATGACTGTGATAAGATACCTAACATTATACTTCCAATTGGTACTCATTAGTTAAGGACAAGCTGGACTAACTGAGCCTCTTCATACAGACAACTAGATAAGTCTGGGGGAATTTTTTTTTTTTTTTTGGTACCAAGGATTGAACCCAGTGGTGCTTGACTACTGAGTCACATCTCCAGCTCTTTTATATTATTTATTTTGAGGCAGAGCCTCATTAGTTCCTGAGGCTGGCTTTGAACTCATGATTCTTCTGCCTCAGCCTGATGAGACACTGGGATCACAGGCATGAGCCACTGTGACTGGCTAAGCCTGAGAAATCTTAATTATGTTTAATCTGCACTTCAAATTAGAATTTTTCTCTTTCCTTGCAGGCCAATTTTAGTACAAGGTACATGGTTTCATGGACTCACCTATTCTATTTAAATAAAATGTCTCTGAAAAGGCTGCTGATTGATATATAAAAAGAAAGATTGAAGATAATTATGTCATTTACTCAGTTCCTCATTTATTTCTCCATATCTCAGAAATATGCTCTCTCTCATCATCAGTTGATTCTTTCTTTTTTATTTAATATTTTTGGTGAATCCATAGTAGAGGAATTGCCAGTTTTTACAACTTTTGCCCTCCATCAGGCCTTATGTGAGTAGCATATATTTTTAGCATTTTTAGCCATTCTGTCTCACCAATATGCCTCAACTTTCACTTAGGGAGATAAAATAGGCTATTTTCTTAGCACAAGTGCTTTTCTCTATGATAGAAGAGTAAGTTTGAGAATCATCCTCTGGTACCAATAGCCTTTAAATCATTCTAATCTCGATTACACTTCATGTAGATTCTGATACACTAATGGGAAATAATCATCATGTCTTCCCTTCTGAGCATGCCAAATATACTATAACATTTTTAAACCAAGCCACCAAGCTACCACAATTTATCAAAGATAATGGTTAGATAGTAACAGCCTTGAAATAACTGTAAATTTGGCTTTTTTGAATGAAATAAAAAATGATTTGAAAATGAAACTGTCATGAAGAACACTTTATAAATGTTTATGAATTTATAAAATTCAGAACAGGATACCTCAGTGTTGTTATTCTTATCATTATCTTATTAATAGAGAATGGTGCTAAAATGTAGAATGCACATGAACTTTCATTTAGGTCTTAACTGAAAGTTATTTGCTAAATGATATTGTAGTGTCCTAGATGAGTTTCTACAGTTCTGGAAGGTGGGCAATTTCCTCTCTCCTCTCTGAGAAATAGAGTCTGTTATTGTTGTGGAGAGCTACAACAAAGTGGTTGCCTTGGAGTTGAGAAATAGAATGGACATGCTATTTTTAACTACTTTAACTTTTCTAGACTCTTCATTTAAAATTTATTCCTTCTTGTGGGGAAGGCATATTTTATGCATGGATAAACTTGGGTTTCTCACCCCAGAAATAGGCTTTTGTAGCAAAGAGGAAGGTGTAATGTTCAACAGTGTAAGAACCATGTCTACGATGATAGTGCTGTTGAAACTGGGTTTGTTAATAGTTGAGTTTGCAAAAAAGGCTTACAGATCCCTGAGAGATTTGAGAAGATAGGATGACAAGGATTCAGAAATAAATCTTGTAAAAAGAGATAAGTAATTTTCTAAGGACAGTATTTGCAGAAGTCCTTGTTGCCCTGGGCATGCCAAAGGAAAATCTGGGATACCTAAGTTTGCTAGGTACTATATATGTGGCTTTACTCATTGTGATCTGTTCACTCTGCTTATTATGTGACACAGAAGATCTTGTGTTTCCTAATTGTCATTTGATCTAATGATATTCTTTTTCATTCATATGTATTATTTTTTCTTCCCTGATTAATGACTAACAGAATAAACATTTGTTTAAGTCAATGGTTATTTATCTAGCAGAAGAAATAAAGATGAATGAATTGGTTAGTATACAGTTAAATTGTTGTAACTAGAAGATAGTTAAAAATAACAGCAACTGAAGCAATGTAGAAAATTGTTTCTTTCCACATAAAATCTGGGGGTTAGTGTGATAGCTCCACTTTCATCAGAGTCCAGGATCCTTTGTCTTATGGTTCTTCCATCTTGAACACATCTACTTCATACTCCTCCTATGCCATATGCATTTAAGCCTAAGCACAAAGGGGGAAAGGTAGAAAGCAGGGCCACATCACATCTGTCTTCATATCATGTTTAGTCACGCCCCAAAGGTCACATCTTGATCAAATAGCAAAACTTAGTTGCAAAGAAGGCTGATAATTGTATTCTTTAGCTCAATTGACATAGTCCTAAATAAGAAGGTGAACAATAGGGGGCTGAGGTTATAGCGTAGTGGCAGAGCATTTGCCTAGTGTGTGTGAGGCAATGGGTTTGATCCTTAGCACCACATGAAAATAAACAAATAAAACAAAGGCACGCTGTTCCTCTACAACTACAAAAAAATATATATTTTCTTAAAAAAAGAATGTGAACAATGGATGGTATCCGATTACTAGAAGTTGCTACCATGAGTATATTTAGATTTCTGAACTTGGTGAACTTAAAATATTATACAAGCATTAATAACTATACATAAGTACAACACCAGAACTATAACACTAGAAAAATAGAGTAAGTATGAAATAAAGATTGTATAAAATGTTAATAATTGAAGGAGGGAAAGCTTAAATAAACATTTATCATTTGAGGAGCTGATGGGATATCTAGGAAGAGAACCCAACAGAGTATTAGAACTGCAGGATTAAGTTTTCAAAAAAGGAAATTCCTTGCTAAAAAGGGGTATTAGAATATCTGATAACTAGAACTCTTTCAAACTACACCCACTTCTGGCCAACTAAATTGTCTGAGATGTCACCATAGCACCAAGGGTGCTCTCTTTTGGGGTGATGATGAAGCTGTGAAGGCAGAATGGGGAACTAATTGACCTTTACAAGTCTTCAAGCCTCTCAAGAAAAGATAATTTTCTTTATTGAATAATTCTACCTATCTTACTGAATAGAATTTTAAATTTTCTTTTCACTCCTTCCATCTTTTAGGGTGCTTTTCAGGAAACAATGATCGCTTTTGGGCAATTCATCAGAAGAAGAGTGGGAAGCCGGTATTCATTTATCACCGTTCACAAGATATTGAGAAGAGCCTGGATATAACTCCACAAAAGATATATAAACATAGCTATCCTTCCTCTTCTGAGACTCAGATAGGTAAACGCCACCACATTGTTAATTCAGCCTTTCCTAGACCTGCGTATGACCCATCTCTCAATCTGTTGGCTGTGGCTGGTCAAGATCTTGAAGTGGAAAATCTACCAATTCCAGCAGCAAATGTAATTGTGGTGGTGAGTATCCAAGTCTTCCAATCCCAGCAGCATCAGGTTTAACTGATATTGATGTTGTTGCTTTCCCTTGCGGTCGATACTGGAAGAAAAAAAATAATTATTGTAAAAACTTACCATTGGATCTCAATGGTTATTGACCATAGCACTTCTCACTCTCTGAAATTTCCTTTTTGTTACTTGATTGTTGTCTGTTTTCTTCCTCCCATGAAATTAGAGAACTTGTCTGTATCCTCAGCTCTTAGCACAATGAATGGTGCCTAGTAGGAGCCTAATACATATTTGGATTAAAAATTACTTTAAAGAGGCTTTAAATTACAACAGATCACACCCTATATTGAACCTCTTGCTTCTGTAAAATGTGTTCTGAAATGACAGGCATTAGTCTCAGTCCATGTAATAAATAGTACTTATTGAAGATTCTTTAAGTCTTTTGACTCAACTCATAGTGTTATAAAAGGAGGACAGGTTTCTGTCACTAGTAAATAAGATGACTTAGGAATAAATGATAGATAATATTCTTAATATCACTGTGCAAACATATTAGGTGATGCAAAGATCTCATTTCTTATGTACTTCCATAGCCCAGGTCAAAAATTCCCAATTTGTAGAGGTCTAACAGTTCAAATACATGCTATGGTTGACACCTGTATAGACTATAATCCCTCTCAAGTTTAAAATCATAACACGAATGTTCATATAAAAACTAAATAGCAGCTGATCATTATGCAACATATACATGAATTGAAATATCACATTGTGCTGGGTACAGTGACACATGCCTGTAATCCCAGCAGCTAGGGTGGCTGAGGCAGGAGGGTCGAGTTCAAAACCAGCCTCAGCAAAAAACAAGGCACTAGGCAACTCAGTGAGACCCTGTCTCTAAATAAAATACAAAATAGGGCTGGTGGTATATGGCTCAGTGGTTGAGTGTCCCTGAGTTCAACCCCCAGTACCCCTCCAAAAAAAAATCACATTGTACCCCATATGTACTATAAAAATAAAATAGTTACAGAAGGTCTTCTAAATAATTGTTGCATTTCTGTCTAAAAATATAATAATGAGTTGACTTTTGAGGAAAAGATAAGTTCAAGAAACTCTGCTTGCATTTTGGCAACCTTTCTATGTACCAAATGTAATTCAATTTAACATGCTCCATTTTTCTTTATTTTCTATCTACTACATATAATATAATACACTTAGTATCAAAGATCCATTCTCTTATGCTTGCCACTAAGAAATATTGAATATTTATTTGATACAGTTTTCCCTTGGGGTATCTAAAAATAAAAACAAGTTCCAAAGAGCCTTGGTTTTGCTTGAGAAATGTCTGCATGAAATGTCAATAATTAAAATAATACAAACAATCATAAATTGAAACATGAGATGAACTCTTTGTTAAGACAGAACATGTGGGTTGTTTGGCCTCTTGAAAACTTGAACATGTATTTTATATTTCATGAGTAGCAGATGTTCTGAAGGTGAAAGTCACTGTCTATTCAGTGAAGATAAATGATGTTAATGATGTCTCTGTACCTGGATATCCCAGTTTTAATGATAGGGCCCATGGGACATATTTCCTCTAGTGACCATCATATACCCATAGTCATCAACTCTTAAAGTCACTGCGAATTACAGTTCAAGAGGTTTGTTCTATCTTGTAATATCATGTATTGTCTCATTAATTTAATATTATGGACAATAAAAGGCACCAACGAAGAATTCTGACAGGTCATTTCACTTTTAGCCTATTTGTGGTTTGGAGATTCATGAAGAAGCTGTACTTTTTCTTTTGAGTGATGATTACACAGATGCAATAGGTAATTTGGATGCATTAGTCTCACCTAATGTCTCTTGATCTAACTTCTAACCATGCTGTGGCTTTGGTAGCTTGCAAAAATAATTGCTAGTGCTATTTCCTGTAATCCACTTACATTACTTAGGCATACTAGGAAAACCTGAGGTGGAGTTATTTTTTAAATAAATCAATAATGTTCAGCTCCCTGAGAAAGCAATACGATGACATGCAATTGAATATCAGCTGGTTTGAAGGGCCATTCTATCTAGAAAAGCAATTTAGGAATGGAATGTGGAAGATGCAAGGGATATATTCTGAGGCAGTTTTCTGACTTCAATGGAATAATTGATGTGTGTTTGTATGTAGAGGGTATACATGTATTTAAAACATACACATATGAATGCGAACCTTATCACTTGGGGGAATATTGCAGTGGTACTAAAAAATTCTTTCGTGGCTTACTTTATACCAAAATGAACTGTGTTAATGAATATCAGCTTTTTGAATGGAGAAATTACTGGTTTTTGCCTAGATAGGGTAAAAAACGACCCCCAATCTCCAAATGTGCTGTGTAATAATTTCTAAGACTTCCCAGCTCAGAAAAAGAGATCACATTTTCTTCCTTCTAATATTTCTTTCTCTCCCTCTTGTTTCTGATATCACTGGCAATGGGTTCTTAGAATGATAAATTTAACAAGGACATGTGTCCCTTCTCCTTTCTGGATTCCTAATTGCTGCCACAAAGCATTTCACAAGAGATTTGGCCACAAATGATTTTTTTTTTCCTTTTTCGTCTTTCTTTTGTAATCAGGAAAATCTGTAGTTTTTTTTTTGTTGTTGTTCCATGAAAATGAGAATGTTTACCCCCAAAGAATGCTAGTGATGTTCCAGAAACTCAATTAAGAAGCTGTGATTAGGATTTCTGTGTGAGGACTGTTTTAGAGGGAAAATGAACAGCCTGGAGGTCAATATTAAGGTCAGAGGGGAGAAGGGGCTTTAGCCAAATGCATGCTGGCAATTCTATAGCTCTTATCAGTAGATTCTTAGGGTATTGTCAGGCCCCAAAGCCACACACCGGGAAGGAGGAAGGGGACGCATGAAAATGGTTAGAGGCAACTAGAGGCCTTTCCATTTCAGCATAGGTTATTGAGTGAAAAATGTTCTAGCCTGACCAAAACCTGAGAAAATTGAGGGCTAATCAGGTTTGGGAATATAATAGGAGATGTTTAGGATCAGTGAACAGGGACAGAGGTAGGGAGATTATGGCTTACTACACAGGATGGATTCGAAGGATGGAAAATAAAGGAAATAAAAAGAAGATAGAGAAGGCAAAGGAGGAGGAAGAAAGGAGAGGAGGAAAGGAAAGGGAAAAGAAAGGCCTCTGGGCAGGGAAGAGAACAGAAAGGGAGGAGAGGATACACAGCTGTTCTCTAAGCACATAAGAAGCAAGGGGGAGTTTCCAGAAGCCGATCCTGTCTGTGAGACCTAGAATCCTGTGGCTTCTTGTTCTGCTCACTGACCCAAACCAGCTCCCAGACAGGTATTCTATTGTTTTTTTTAACACAAACTATTCTTGCAAATACTTTTACTAGATATTTGACTTAGAAAACTTTTCAAACCAAAATCTCTGGATGAAAGGATTTCAAATCTATCCTAGACTCAGTTTGAGCCTCCTCTCAGCTTGATTCTGTTACTGGCCAGTTTATAGGATTCATCTTATAAAAAGGTCATCTGTAGGTATGATTGGAAAGGCTTTGAAAGTCAAGGCTTCTCATTGTCTTGCCACAGGAAAATGAATCTTGTAGCATCTCTTCTGTTGTGTGATATGGATAAATAATTGCTGGACATTTTTTTCACTAGACAAATTGGTTTAATTATAGTTTTATATTTGCATAGTGAGCGTCCTAAGAAATGAACTGAATTTATGCACTTAGCACTGGAATTCAGCTGTGTCCAGGAAAGTGCTTTAGTTATTAAGACTTTGTTGCAAGTGATGAAAATACCAACATAAACTAGAGAAAATTTAATGGCTGCAGTACCAACACTTTTGTATGACAATTTAGGTATGGTTCTAGCAAGGGCTCAAGTAATGGGAACAGGATCAACCTTCCAACTCTGCTTTCTCTGGGTGAATTCATTCTCAGAATGGCTCTCTTCTCTTTGTCACAACATGAATTTTGGAAGCTCCTGGAGTTTCACCCTTGAAAGTTCGTGTTGAGTTGGAAGGAGCATCACGCAGCTGTCAATAATATCCTGGGCTTCCCTGTGACCAGAGCAATTTAAGTACTCACTTTGTCCCTTAAGAATTTATGGTCAGGTGATAAGACAGGACTAATTACTTCAAACCTAAACCACAGAGTTCACTCTAAAATCTTTCAAGCCATGTATAGGAGGGGAGATTACTCATTTGAAAAATGAGATCCTATTAACCAGCAGAAGTAGAGTAGACACTGGAGGGCAGTTCAGTGTGTACAAAAGCAGGGGACATAGACTTCTGTTTTCCTTCAGATACAATAGCCCCTTCAAGAGACAATGAGGATATAAGGACTTAGCACTATCTCAGGAAATGTTCCTGTGCAAAAAATAGATGACAAAGGTCACACTCTAACCTCTCTAACACTCAAACAGACTGCAAATTCACTCTGGCATGGGTGCCTGAGTTATGTCTTAAAACCCAGACTTTTACCAATGAGAAAGACTATATTTTAGTGTAGAAAGTATGTTTTTCAAATGCAGGTTTTTGGAAATTGTTGAATTAGCCTATGTTAGAGTTAGTGGTCAAAATACTACGTTGGTGAAAGACACAAGTCTAGTGAATTGTGAAGTATGATTGAGATGTCTTTCAATTCAGTCCCAGGGCACTTGGTCTCAAGTTCCATGAAGGAGTATAAAGAAATTCTGAGAGAGCAGGCACAGTGGTGCAGGCCTGTAATTCCAGTGGCTTGGGAAGCTGAGACAAGAGGATCATAAGTTCAAAGCCAACCTCAGCAAAAGTGAGGCACTAAGCAACTTAGTGAGACCCTGTCTCTAAATAAAATACAAAACAGGGCTGGGGATGTGATTCAGTAAGCAAGTGCTCCTGAGCTCAATCCATGGTACAAAAAAAAAAACAAAAGGCTGAGAGAACAAATTTATTTTTTTTAAAAAGTTACAATGCACGAGATTAGTTTAACAACAACTTAAAACACACTCATGCAAATTTATGAGTGGAAATGGAGAAATCTCAGAGAGAAGTGAGTCCTTATAAGAAATAAAAGAATGACAGGGAGGCATCACAAGAAAGTGGAGAAGATTATTAATCACATATATTGGCACAATTGGATAGCTATTTGACGAAAAAAAATAATAATCATTCTATTAACCAGTAACACTTTTTTGTGCTAAGCACTTTATATTTGCATTTCCCTTAGCACTGTTTTAAGAATGAAGTATTATTTGTTACAAGCAAGTCTATGACAATAACAAAATGACTATCTTCATTTCTTCATTTTAGCTTTTACCTTTCCTTCTAACTAGTTATTGTGTACAAACTTGTTCCAATTTTTTTCAGAATAACCACAGAAAACTTAAATCAGATCATCACACACATACACACACACGTACACAACA